AGTTAGGACACTTGTTGAAAACATGTTAATCCCACAAGTAGGCAACAGACATCAAGTAGAAATTGGACAAAACAAATCAAGTATTTTCAGAAATAACTTGGAAATACTGGTTTTAGAACTTGGAAATAGTGTCCTGAAATACTGTCTTAGAACTTGGAAAAGGGCAAGTTAGGACACTTGTTGAAAACGTGTTAATCCCACAAGTTGGCAACAGACATCAAGTAGAAATTGAACAAAAAAATCAAGTATTTTCAGAAATAACTTGGAAATACTGGTTTTAGAACTTGGAAATAGCGTCCTGAAATACTGTTTTTAGAACTTGGAAAAGGGCAAGTTAGGACACTTGTTGAAAACGTGTTAATCCCACAAGTTGGCAACGGACATCAAGTAGAAATACTTGGACAAACAAATCAACTATTTTCAGAAATAACTTGGAAATACTGTTTTTAGAACTTGGAAATAGTGTCCTGAAATACTGTTTTTTAAACTTGGAAAAGGGCAAGTTAGGACACTTGCTGAAAACGTGTTAATCCCACAAGTTGGCAACAGACATCAAGTAGAAATTGGACAAAACAAATCAACTATTTTCAGAAATAACTTGGACATAATGTTTTTAGAACTTGGAAACAGTGTCCTGAAATACTGTTTTTAGAACTTGGAAAAGGGCAAGTTAGGACACTTGTTGAAAACGTGTTAATCCCACAAGTTGGCAGCAGACATCAAGTAGAAATACTTGGACAAACAAATCAACTATGTTCAGAAATAACTTGGAAATACTGGTTTTAGAACTTGGAAATAGTGTCCTGAAATACTTTTTTCAGAACTTGGAAAAGGGCAAGTTAGGACACTTGTTGAAAACGTGTTAATCCCACAAGTTGGCAACAGACATCAAGTAGAAATTGGACAAACAAATCAAGTATTTTCAGAAATAACTTGGAAATACTGTTTTTAGAACTTGGAAATGGTGTCTTGAAATACTGTGTTTAGAACTTGGAAAAGGGCAAGTTAGGACACTTGTTGAAAACGTGTTAATCCCACAAGTTGGCAACAGACATCAAGTAGAAATTGAACAAAAAAATCAAGTATTTTCAGAAATAACTTGGAAATACTATTTTTAGAACTTGGAAATAGTGTCCTGAAATACTGTTTTTAGAACTTGGAAAAGGGCAAGTTAGGACACTTGTTGAAAACGTGTTAATCCCACAAGTTGGCAACAGACATCAAGTAGAAATTGGACAAGACAAATCAACTATTTTCAGAAATAACTTGGAAATACTGCTTTTAGAACTTGGAAATAGTGTCCTGAAATACTGTTTTTTCAGAACTTGGAAAAGGGCAAGTTAGGACACTTGTTGAAAACGTGTTAATCCCACAAGTTGGCAACAGACATCAAGTAGAAATTGGACAAAGCAAATCAACTATTTTCAGAAATAGCTTGGATACTGTTTTTAGAACTTGGAAATGGTGTCCTGAAATACTGTTTTTAGAACTTGGAAAAGGGCAAGTTAGGACACTTGTTGAGAACGTGTTAATCCCACAAACACAACAGCCAAGAAACTGCAAAAGCCAACGAACCAAAACAACCCCAAAGGGCGAAGAAACCAAGAGCCACAAGAGCCACAAGAGCCACAAGAGCCACAAGAGCCACACACCACAACAGCTACAAAAACTACAAAAGCCGAAAAAAAACACAAAACCCGCAAAAGCAACTGCAGCACACTTTATGGCAATATTTTCTTGTGAATTTCTTCTGGAATTCTGATGCATTTGTCCATTTCTATTGAAATTCTTCTGAATGCATTTTTGTTTTACAGATTGTTTGCATTTCTGAGAAATTCTTATGAATTTCTTATGAATTCCTTTTGCATTTCTTATGAGTTTCTTATGAAATTCTTATGCAGTTTTTTAAAACTTTATACGTTTTGGACAAAAGTGTATGAAGTTTTGGCAAAAGTGTATGAAGTTGTTAAAACTGCATAAGAACTGCATAGGCATAAGAATTGCATAAGAAATGCATACGAAATTTCTTAAAAATACAAAAGGAACTCATAAAATTTCACAAGAAGTTCATAAGAAATTCAAAAGGGATTTCATGAAGGTCTGGTGTACGAGAACAATCTATTGTGACCCCCCAAAAAAAGACTCTATACGTGAGACCACAAAGAAAATATCAAAATACATCAAAACCTGTATTCAAGATAACTCCAAATAATGTTCATACGTTTATGCAATTTGAAATGCGTTTGAATACATTAGTCTTAAGAATAAAGTCACAAGCAACCTTGTATAGTTCTGAAGAGTTTTCCCCGGCAATCGCAATCGGTGCAGTTCCATGAAGTTCAATCTGGCCTCTTATGATATTTTCCGTTTCTGTCTAATTCAACAGAGTCAATGAGTCAGTGGGTACTGGGATCTCCAGATTTAAATATATATATATATTTGTTTTATGTCGCGTTCCCTTCTTCAAGGTTTCCTTGAAGTTCAAGAGCTAGAATTTTGGACGTGTCTCTGTCACCATCAACGTAGCACGTTTTTGTTGAAGCAGGTAATTTCGGAGTTCATCCTTGTCTTTGACATTTCAAGATGGGACTCTTCTTGGATAACCGTGAGCCAATGCGAAGAATGAGAGACAGGTTGCCACACATTGAATCGTCACTTGTCAAAGTCGGCAATGCACATGTTGATCAAGTCAAGATAGTTCAAGTATGTGTTGAAGATATTGAAGGGTGTCAGTTCGGGTGTCAGCAGTCTTCAGGCAACGCGCCCGTGGATCTGGCGAGAGAGGAGTGCCAGACGGAAATCGTGAACTTGCTGATGGACAAAGCCTCTTGGCTGCACGAGTGGGCCTCAAGCACTGCAGTGGCCCAAGGATGTCAACCTGTATAACATGATGAAACTTCTGGCACTTGTGGGGATGAAAACGTGAAAGGGACGTGGCGTGAGATAGTGCAAGTCCCGACTGGGGGATGTTTACGAAGTCAATTTTGGACAATGAAGCTGCTAAATAAGTTTGTGTCGCAATCCACTTGCCAACAAGTGTGAGCATAGATTGAGCAGGAATCTGATTGAATTCGCAGACTTGATTTGGTACTCATGCATGGGATTCTCTGTGTTAACCCCAAAGACCCTTTCCAGTGCCATGGTCTTCGGAGACAACATCAAGAATATAGGTTCAACCAGGTTGGATGTTCTTATGATTGTCTCCAGCTGCACATGGCCTAAAGGATGTGACATGTCACAGATGGGTATGCCTCACCACAGAGTTGGTCATGTGTTCGTTCAGAATGAGTTTATACTTTCTCAACATCTCCGTATTTCAGGTCGCTCCAGCCCTCCAAGCATTTTGAAGTGCAAATGTTCTGCGCACCTTGTGGCCGCCCAAGGCATGAACCGGAAGGCCTGGCACATGGAGTGGCTGAGCGATGTTTGCGAAACCGCTTGATGTTTCTTGCTTTGGTGTTTCATGTGAGCCGCTGTCAATATTCTTGGCATAGTTTTTAGCCACGATCCATCAGTTTGGAGGAATGAAACATAAATCTCTAGAAGATGTATTTTAATATTAAGCACGAAATCATGGTATAATACTGAAATGATCTTGACAGCTACCCATGCTCATGCCCGTGGGCATTTAGACGGCCCCGGCTCCGGCAAGAAATTTCAATAAAGTATTTTGCTGTACCGACATGTCAATGCTTCATTTTGGAGAGGCGCATAGTCCATAGTAAAATTTGATGAAAGTTGCAGTTCTACCCTTCAACCTCAGCTCGTAGGAAGATCACGTCACATCTGTAGCAGCCTTCGACATCGTTTGAACATGAATTTGAGAAGGGGAACTTTGTCAGCTGCATTGACCTGCAGCTGCCATTAGCTCCCGAGTTTATTTAATCTTTGCTGATTGTATCCCCATTATTTGTTGCTTAAAGCCCCGTGGAACAGCATCATTTCCTCGCGTTTGTTTGCCTTCCCATCAGGCAAAGTTCTCCTCGGCTTGACAAAGTGGTCTTCGCGCAAGCTTCCCAGGGTGTCCAAAAGGGGATTCCGGGCCAAAGGTGCCTTTAGGTGCATCCTGTGATCAAAAATGCGCTGCCCAACTCCTTCGGGGTCACCAAAGGGTACTGGTCAAGCTTGGGTCCCTTCAAAATTTGATCGTTTCAACAACATGATCTAACAGCAAACATTTATCCCGAAATGACCACAATCTGTGGTTCCATGGCGCCTCATGTAGAAGAGGTAATCCCCATGAGTTTCGCCATCTCAGTTTGGGACAAGAACTGAGCTCAGCAAGTGGCTACGACCTCCTGCAGCCATCAAGGGTATAGCCTATTATAGCCTTCACTTGCTGATTCCCTTTCCAATTTGTTGTTTTGTAGTGACATGGTCTGACATGGTGGGGAAACGATCGCAAAACGACATGCAAATCCATGGCTTAGCTTCATGATCATCCCAGCAGCTCAGCCAGGACATTCTCCACTGCAAATTGCATGAAGTATCGAGAAGTAAAAACCAGCTCACAACTTGCTGGATAGGTGATAATCCTTCAGTTGTAGTGATATTGCAGCTCTGAGAACTGCTGGGTGATGTCTCGATGATCGGAGGGAAGAACGTCAGGCTTTTGCTTTGATATGTGTTCTTTTCTTTTTTATGTTAGGTCTATTAGAGGTGGTCAAGCTTAATGTGGGGTCAAAGTGCCATGGGTGATGTGCATGCAATACGCGATCGATGGTTCAAAGCAACATTGGGACACATCAACTCTTCACATGTTTGTGCCTAACTACGATCTTTCTCATTGCATTATATTGCATTTGAAATTGGATTTTGGTTCTCCATTACCTTTAATTGATTAGCAATCTGAATTGAATCCGTGGTTGGGTGGGCTTGTTGGTGAAAGGGACCTTGAAAGTTTCAACGTGGCATCCACTCTGCGAACCTTTCCTGGATTTGACATTTCGCTACGGTTTCACCATTCTACGGGATTTCCCGTTGCACAACACGTGCAAAAAATGATGGCTTTGGGAACGCTCGCAGGGGTCCCAGATGTGCTGGGACAGCAGCTTATTCTGATTCATACCAGATACTGCACATCAAACAAATGGTTGACGCCGCACAAGCATGCATAAACATGGTGTTCTTCTTGTCTTTTGATGTTGATCAGGTCAATAGCAAACTTGGATATTATGTCCTTGTTTTTTCCTGATATCTAGTGCTGCACATTTCATATGGGAGCCGTCCGTAAATGCAGATAACAAATTTATGAATTGATGCGTTTACTCTGCTTTGCGCGATTGCCAAAACCTGCATCGCGATAGGCTGAGCGATTGGTTGGCGATTGGTTATACGGCTACGACTACTACTACTACTACTACTGCTACTACTACTACTCCTACTACTCCTACTACTACTATTATTACTACTACTACTCCTGCTACTACTACTACTACTGCTACTCCTACTACTACTACTACTACTACCACTACTACTACTACTACTACTACCACTACTACTACTACTACTACTACTACTACTACTACTACTACTACTATACCTATAAGTAGCTCCTGCCGATCACTTTAAGCGGTTCCACCAACAGAAGCGGGTGTACCCCGGACCGGATGTATTCTTGGGGGGAGCAATCCAGGGCCCTGCGCAACTTAATGCATACCCCTAAAGGAATGCGTCGAAAACAGAACGGCGCTGGTGATCGGTAAGGAGGATGGTAAGATATCCGAAGCTATTACAAGATATATAGTGGCATTATACTGGCAGTCTCCACTATTACATTTCGAAAGTTCTGCCTTTGTTTTTTTTCCAAATGACAAAGGTCCGACTGAGGGGTCAGAAATCAGTCAGAAACCAGTCAGAAACCGGCCAAACGCAACCTCTCTCTCTCTCTCCCTCCCTTGCCTATTCCCTCACCCTCCTACCAGAAATCCTACGCCTACTCCTATTCCAATTTCCACTACCACTACTGCTACTGCTACTGCTAGTGCTGCTGGTACTACTGTGAGTTTTCCGGACCGATTCCGGACCGCGCAAGCTTGTTTTGCTCCCAAGTTTGAAACAATGCGTTCACGCATGGATCCTTCCTCTCATTACTAGACTTGCTATTACTCACACCCGCTGCTATTGCACCACCACTACCACTAGTACACCTAGGAATTTCTGCCTTTGCTTTTAAATCCAATTGACACGAGTCCCGCTGAAGGGTCAGAAACCAGTCAGAAACCCGTCAAGAAACCGGCCAAACGCAACCACCTGTTTCCCTCCCTCCCTCCCTCTCTCTCTCTCTCTTTCTCTCTTTCCCTCCCTCTTTGCCCTGCTACTAGAACTCCTACTCCTATTCCTACTCCTACTCCTACCCCTACTACTACTACTACTAAATTCAGCAGAAAAGCAATGGTATTACAAAGAATTAGAATAAAATTTTTGTCACGATTCATTATATAATACATAACTTTTATTTTATGTATATGATCTGATCAACGAAGAACAAACCCTTCCGCGATTGCTCACTGTGGTACCGCGGTTGCTACGCGATTGGCTGAGCGATTGAGGGCTGTCCGGGAAAAGGTATTTTGGACAACCCCCATATAGTAATATAGAAACTTGATGCTATCAAATAACCGCAGAATTGTTGAATAGTTAGTCATTTAGACAAGTGACCAAGTGTGAAGTCAACGAGATTGGTGAGGCTGTTCAACATGGTCACAGAGTGGTTTTCAACCTCTCGTCACTGCTCAGCGTCAACCTCTGTTCAGCATATTGTACGGCCTTGACACAGCTGGAAAGGATTTGCCAGCTTTGGCCGAACTTCAGCAGGCAAATGACAATTTGAAGGCCCATTGCGAGTTGTGGTTGGAAGGCCTTTTTGCAAATACATGTAGGTAGGTCATGTTCCAGTCTTGAGGAGGCATTCGGAAAAAGTGACATGTGCTTCTGTGCTGCTGCGTTTCTGTGGAAAATGAAGCCCAACACGCAGTTAAACAATCGTTAACTGTTTTTGTTTTTTTTTGCTGATTTGATATGTTGGTGGTCTGGCTTCATTCCCTGGAAAGGCCTTCGTGAACACATTTTGTGACGGTCTTCGAGAACAAAGAATTGAGCGCCAAAAATTCGAGGTTCACGTGGTGATCGGAAATTTGGAGTGCAGGTAAACCAAGGGTTTAGAAAGTTTAGGATCGTCACACTTATTTTAATAAAACAGAATAGAACATAATATAGAAACACAAGTCAAAGACGGCGAGTTCAATCTCATCATATTCCAGTCCCGTTTTCTGTGACTCCCTGGATTGCATCATTGGCATCACACCAATTCTCCTACCCTTCATTGGTAAGCACACAACTGTATATTTGTGGGGTCTTTGCTTGGATGCACCCTTTATGCATTAAAAACTGAACTTGGCTTGGACATGTGGACCTTCAGCGGGTACCTTTTTTGCCATTTTGCTGTAAACTCAGTGAATCCCTCACCCACCATGGCTCACGGTTTCTCGAAGGAGAAGCTGAAAACTGTCGAAAGCCAGCTTTCAGATGCAAGTCAAGAACAGGACCCAACATGCAATGGCATAGCACGACATGGTTGCGTTTTTGGACGGTGCACGGTGCAGACCCATGATTCTCAAAGGGGCAGGGTTTGACCTGAAAACCCTTTATGTGCCATTTCTATCCATTTCTATCTATGTTTCGGTTCTGATATCTTTTGCCAGACTCTTCATTGCCAGCCCCTTCATCGAAAAGCGAGCAATCTACATCCATCACGATGTCAGAGCAGGGTGGCCGTCAAGTACATTCCATACTGCGCAGGACGATGTCAAAAGACTGCTGGAAGAATTTGCAGCGTATACACTTGCAATCGCAAAGGCAGAGGTGGGCGGAATGCAGATTCGCATGTTGTACAATTGTGTTCTCGTGAACCACAAATTCCTAGGCCGGGTTAGTTCGTGCAATTGCGCATGTGTAGTCGGTGCATACGGGACAAGTCGACACTTATTTTACCTTTCATAAATTCCAAACATGGACTTGAAATGACGTGAAACGAACCCATCATTTCAAAGTTTCCTTCAGTTCCATCATCTGTTAAATCAGTGTTGACAGGGTTGGTTCATTGTTTTCGACTGGTTCATGTGTGTTGTCCCTGCAGGAGCTAGTTCGGGCTGTGCTTGATGACCTAGAAGCGCGGAGGACTTTCAAGGAACGGACGGAGGCCGATCAAACGGCTGAGGTTAATTGGACAGGGCAGAATTGATTGCCATCCTGGCCCCTAGATTGGTTTACCAGGCAACCGGTAGGATGGCATTCCTGTTTGCTATTTTTCACGATAAACCTCCACAGGAATGCATCAACAAGCAACCACAGATGCTATGTCAAAAGGCACCACCATATCTGTCCAAACAAATACAGTTTTTTGATTTCCTGTTCATGTCTAGCAAATATGGCATGCTAAGAAACTTTTACAAAATAGGATCTTTTATATTTTTTCATGTTTGCATATGACCTCCATTCCATTTTGAATGTTTCCATGCGCTGGCTGTGAACCTTTTTCGAATGCACCTTCCTGTCGACCAGGCCGCCACAGCATCCTCTGAGAGCTTGGCGCTCGGCGTTTGTTTTACGCCAGATACGCATGGAATCCTGTCAGGAATCCTTTGGGAGCCGCTCTGCCTTGGTCATGCCAAGGCCAAGACACCACAGCGGAGGGCAAAGTCGAGAAGAAGAACAGGTTGGGCAGCGGGCTCAAAGTTGAGGCGAATAGCTGGATGTGTTGCCAGCAGAGGAGGTTGACGTTTGTCCGGGTCACGGTGTAGTAATGATTAGCCCTTCTCCCGTCTCCACCTGTCCAGCTCAGCGGTTGCTGCTTCTTCCTGGTACAGCTCATATCACTTTTTAAAACCATGCAGTTCGGATGCATGTTCGTTCATACACATGTTTTTTGTACCCTGACAACATGGCATAGTTCAATTTGATTTGAAGCAATGTGTATGAACGTTTCTGTCGCTTTTGTCACCTTTGTCACCTAGGCCGGACGGAGCTGCACAATGCCGTGTGCAGCGGTGACAAAGACTACGTCCAGCAGCTCCTAAAAAATCGCGCGTCTGTTGATGCCACGGACGGAAGTGGTCCGAAACTTAGAGCGAACAGAATTGCAAGGTGTTGTTCTTGAGAACAGCACCTTTTTGTGTTATTTTCTTAGGCTTTCCGGCGGCGCTGAGGCCGGACACCACTACACTTGGCCGCCAGTGAGCTCTCGGAACCGGTCAAAATCATCGAGCTACTGCTGGAGGCCAGAGCCAGGACTGAGGCTAAAGACCTCAGCGGCCCGGAGCCGAGCTCTTCACATAGAATATGTGAATGCGTATGATCTGAGCCCTCGGATCCAACTGAATTCCCATTGGAGAGTAGATTCAGTCTGAGGGCTTTCAACTTCAGTACGTATATTGACACAGCCTTGTCATATTGATTTGGAAAGGTTTGAGGTCTTCTGTCAACTCGCGCATTTCTGGCGTTTGATGTCAAACTTGCCGCTAAGGTTTCACTCCCTTGAATTTGGCCTGCGATTCGAAATGCAAGGAAGCGGTGGCTGTTCTGCAGAGCGCCGCTCCTTGACTGGCAAAAAATCACCTGTTATATTTTTTGCAATTGCCATTGAATTTGGTCGAGTCTAGCCATGAGATGTGCAATGTAGATGCGCGCCCAATCTCTATTGTGCCATGTTTTATTTTGAATGATGTTTATTCTTCATTACATGTTTTTCGAGTTTTGCGTCCAACAAAAGAAATTTTAGTACTGTTTTGTCTTCATGCAATTTTTGGTTTCTTTTTGTCCGTTTTTTTGGGGTTGCCGATGCAAATTGATCTGATTGGAGGGATCCATGGACAAGGTTCGAAGCACGGGCACACTTATGGTTTTGATTGTTGAAATATTCGTGGATCCAAGAAAACAACAACATGTAGCAACCAATGCAGCCAATGTAAACAGCACCTGCAGGAAGGGAATGGCATTGACCAAGCGCATGGGTATCTTGTCACAAGGGGCAGGGTGAAATAGTCCAATGCACACTCCCTTAAACAGCCGAAGCAAACTCCTGTTTTTCCTCGTTTGTCAAAATCAAGATGGGCATGTAACAATATCAGAAAACGACGCAAAAAGGACAGGAAGCACCCAAGTGGAAACAGAATAGCAAGCAACCAGAGACCAACGTTGTTTTTCCCGTTTTTTGGCTATAACCAAGTGTTTTTGTTTGAGGCAGCTAATTGACGGCTCGAACACATCCCAGTGTGTGTGTGTGTGTTCACAATGGCCGGCCGATTGGATCCCCAGCACCTTGCTAATGCCTAAAAATGGATGAATTGCATAAGGTATTCCCGGGGGAAGACATCTTCGAAAATATGATGATTTCTTTGCTAAATTAGCGCAAGCCGCTCATGTTGCAGTAATTGCCCCAGATTTTGTTGATGAGGAGTGATTTAATATAATATGAACGTTTCAGTTAGAGGTTGTCGGTCCAGGTCTTCAAGAGGAACATCATCTCCAGAGAAGGCATCCCACAAGGACTTTAGTCAGCAAAACATGCAAAACCCTCAGCAATAAATTGGGATCTCATTGGTAAATAATCTGTCATTGAGAATTCTACAGTCGGACATTTTTGCAGGAAACCAATTCATGGTAGAAATGTCCACTCACAGCGTTTCAACATTGCCCTTAAGTTGGAACCAGCAACATGAGGGTACCAAAGATACCTTGCTCGTGTGGATGGTCTTTTGGGGTTCCACGATAAATTGTAGCGTATACACAGATGTACACAGACGTAATGGAACACCAAAGAATTCAATGCCCACAGTAGCCCCCCTACAGTCCCGTGAATCTCCTTGTACATGGACAGGAGGAGTGCCACCTGTACTTCACGGTGCGAAACAACAAGCATGCCGTGTTGGAAAGGACTGGCAATATCAGCTACCCTGGCCACATCAGGGAAGGAGCCAAAGACTGCTATGTCTCCTTCCCAGGAAAATACGAGAGTGGCTGGGATGCTTTAACAAAGGAAAAGCATTTAGACAGTGTCGCTTGCGTCTTTTTATGTACCCCAGAGGATGGTCTCGGGCAACACTACATTGAAGAGGCCTCTGGCCGATGCATGTGTCATACCATATACGGGGAAAGGGACTACAAGCAGTTTGGATATTTAAAAGTCTTGCCGGCAACTTGCACAGACGATGATTTGAAGGATGCAGAAAAAAAAGCCAGAGCAACAAGGATTGTCGTCATTCGTGCCACTGAGAATGAGGACGAGAGAAAGAAAGCTGAAGAGAAAGCAAAGGATGCCTGGGAGTATAAGGAGAAACCCGCATTTGCCAAAGCAGCCCCGTGGGGATGCCGATGGTTCCAGAAGTGGAAGGAACAGGTGGAAAAGGCGGTGAGCTTGGGACAAAGATTGAAGGTCGTGTTTTTCCCAGGGGAGGTGGGCCAGGGCATAGTCGGTTGGGATGAACTGAAACATGTTGACCTCTGGGACGGCAAAGGGTGTGGAGGTTCGCAAAAGTGCGAAATTGCGTATCTAGACAAGAAGAGGAAGGAGATGCTGGACAAAGGAGAGGATGGAAAACCTTGGGAATATGATTGCATTGATGTCACCCATTTCCTCAAAGAGGAATTCAAGGTTGGAACCCACGTAGATGCTTTTGACGGCAAGGTGTGGTGGAAAGGTACCTTACAAGCTGTCCCACGCACCATACCAAAAGATCCAAAGGATCCTTACAACTTGTGGATAGTTCGGTCACAGACTGGGGATATTTTTTCCACCGATTGTGTACGCCATGCTGATTTGATTTCACTGATGGTTGCAGAAGTTGGCCAAGACGTGTTTACGGATTTAGTGAAGAAAGGGTTGAGTGAAGTGCAGGAACAAAGTGAACAGCAGGGATTCAAAGTGGAGAAGCCTTAAGAGCTTATGTTTCCAGATGGTACGCCTGCGTTGGCGAGTAGGCTAAAAAAAATTGAATCAATCCGAGTGCTCCAAGATGTCAGGAACAAAGTTCTGAATTCTGACTTGGAATCTGCTGTCAACAAAGGCCTGGCCACAACATTCACAACAAAGTTCACTGAAAAGTGGCAGGGGCGGGTAGACAAAACATTCTTCTGCGAGATATTTGAGAAGGAACTTTTGAGGTTCTCGAAGCTGACACGACATCAACATGAGAAGTTGGGGGACGTAGAGAATTTGCTGAACGGTGGTCCCGTGCATTTGTCCGCGCCTGCTGGAAGTGGGAAGACATTTATTGCTGTGCAGTGCGCCTACAAGAAGATCAAACAAAGTTCTGAAGGAGTGTTGTCATTTGTTGCCCCATCTATTGATCTTGGCCTCTATTTTTTCCAGTGGCTTGCTCAGAGATTTGGAGAACACATGTCGGTTCACGATTTGCTGAGCCGTGTCGTGCTGATGCAAGCACCATACGAGTCATTTATGACCCTACATGATGAAGACGGCCGCTTAATCACTAAGCCGTCGGAAGGTGAGCCGCAATTTCTTTTGACCATTGTCGATGAAGCACATGATGTATTTCAGTCCATCGACTATGACAGATTTTTCCACAAGGTCAAAGCAGAGCAGCGTTTGCTGCTATCCAGCAAATCCCAGGCATCGGGAACTGATGTCGTTTTCGCTGGAGCGAAGGAGGTGAAGCTCACTGAAATCGTGAGAACCACGAAACGAATTGTTGCAGGTTCAGCTGCTTTTCAGGGAAGGAAGGAGAGAAGGAAGGTGTCACATCCATATGCCCTGCAGGACCTCCTCTCAAGTCGTTCTTGTTCGATTCAGGTGCTCGTGTGGACTTTGAGAAGTATGGGCAGAAGACAATCACTGCACTTTGGGATTTGATAGGAACCTATGCAGGCCTCAGCTTCCACCAGCGCCTTGCCATGCTTGTGCCAAATGACACATTTCTCACGGGATTCAAAGAACAGATCCGACGCCTCTTGGCTCAGTTTCCAGGGCGAAATTTTAAACTCACATCATTTCGAGACTCCCTGGCAATCCTTGCAAACCAAGAGACAAAGCAGACTGCTGAGGCGCTTATAATCGACACAGTGGCAAACGCTAAGGGCCTCGAGAAGTTGATCATCATTTGCATCGGACTGGATGAAAAACTGGGAGACCAGAAAACCAATTGTGAGACCCGTGCCTTAATCTATCAGGCGCTAACCCGAGCGCAACTCCAAGTTGTTGTGGTGAACCAGCTCCTGCCAGGTGGCTGGTTTGAATTCCTTGGAAAAGTGAAATTCAAAGAGGACATTTTTGATGAGTCTTCAGCCATGAAGGAGACCACCACCCAAGCAGCCTCTCAGAGCATCTCTCAAACAGTGCCATCCGTCGAGTCAAGGGCTGCAGCAAGCGACAGACATCCTCCAAGTCCCGGAAGAATTGCTTCATCTGCAACCCAAAGAGACAGCCATGTTCCTCCTGTTCGAGAACCAGAACCACCAATCGTTTCAACGGACCAGGGGATTGACCAGCTGAAAGAGCAGGACTCCTGTCACATGTGTCTTTTTGTAATGTGTTTCTCCCGTCTCACAGATGTTCCTCTTCTTTGGGGTACAGGACTCCTCCGTGTGGGACACCGATAACGACTTTGACACCAAGCAGATCCAACGGCTTCAGTTTGACCCTCGCAAGGCCTGGAAGGTTGAAAGCTGTTGAAGCGCCGCAGACTCTTCCATGACAGTGTTGTCGCATTTGGTGCAAATGACACGAAAGAAAGAAGCAAGAGGATGGATGCACATGGATGGCAAGCACACAGTGTCATCAGCATCGTGTCTTTGTAACAACATTGCAATGCCAGACCATGTCTTTGTTGACCTAATTTTTGATGGTAATTAGCGACTCATGATTTTTCTATGACTTTCAAAAACCACGTCGCACTGGGACAACACCTGCAGGAAGATCCGGCGCAACTTCAACTACCCCCAGATGACGACGAGGTTCGGGCCAAATCGGGGTCAGGCAGCGACATATTTCTCAACCTCTCACAGCATCCCAAAACCTGGCGTCAAACTCAATCCACCACCCTTTCATAATTTGTCATACCTTCCTGGGTAAATATGGATCTTCAAATATCTTCAATACAATGTTCCCCAAAGTGGGTTTTAGAACTATGGCACGGCTAATTGCATTTCATTTCCATGTGTGCTATGGTGAATCTTGGATTTAGCCAAGTTTGCTATGGGCTGCGTTTGATTTCATTTGCAAGAAAATTGACTGAACCTTTCATGGCTTGACTTCGCCGTGTCGGACCGGTGCAACACCTGCAGGAAGATCCAGAACAAGTTGCAGCCGACGAAGCCGCGGCTGCGAAATGTCTGGGCCTCAGTCCTTACTGCCTAAAGATAGAACTTGATGCTACCTCAGGTAGAAGATCTAGAAGTAAATTTGAAGTTGCACTTCAAGTACCATGACATTGAACATCAGGAACTTCAAAGTTCAATAAGTTCAGGTTTCTAACTGATTCAATCGAATTTCAATAGTAGCAGACTTACCAGACTTGGACTACAGTAAACAGATGTAATCAGAAAGATCAAAGGAAAAAAAAGGAAAAAAAAAAACATCGTCATTTCGGTTTCATTCCTCCGCGCGCCGAGACGACCACATCGCCCGCGCGGCGGAGCACGGCGACCTCCCGGCCGTCCGGGGCCACCTGCGCCGCGACCGCGGCTGCCTCGACCGAGTCTTCGGTGGCTACGCAGCGCTGCACCAGGCAGCAGGCCGCGGCCACCGGGCGGTCGTGGCGTTCCTCGTGGCGAAGGGCGCCGCCGTGGACGTCCTGAGCGGCGACGGCCTCGGCCGCGGGGAGCTCAGCGATCGCCGGTCACGGCGCCGCGAGCGCCACTCCGCCGGTGCTGAGGTCGGACTCCGCTGCACGTTGCAGCACGCTACGGCCACGTGGCGTGCGCCCAGCAGCTGCTGGCAGCAAAGGCCTCCGTGGACATCAAGGACATCAACGGCTGGGGGCCTCAGCCGATGTCCCGTTTTTGAAGACCGTTTTTTTTTCGCCGGCAGGTGCAGTTCAACGAATGTGGCATGTCTCAATGACTTATGACATATCTTTTAAGTTTTTAAATTGTGTTTTCAACTTCAGCATGCGATTTCACTGGATTTATCATCTCAGGTTCCCGTCTTCAAAGTTCCCTTGAAATTCAAGAGCCCTGATTTTGGGGCGTGTGTCTGTTGAAAAAAATGAGGGTTTAGAGATGTTTAGAGTTCATCCATGTCTTTGACATCCGTGTGAGCCAAATGAGAAAAATGAAACAGCGCTTTCCGCACATGGTTTCCACACATCAAATTCGGCAGCCCGCACGGCGATCAATTGAAGTGACATTTGGGAAAGGGTCACTTCGAATGTCAACTGTGGATCCCAGGCAGAACACCCCTGGATGTCGCGAGAGAGTTCGGCAAGACGGAAGTGGTGAACTTGCTGATGGCAAAAGCCTCTTGGCTGCACGGGCGAGGCTCAATGCAGTGACCCAATGGCATAGGAGGTGGGAATATCCATGGATGAAACATGGTGAAACTGCTGGCATTGGTGGGAATGAAAACATGAAAGGAGTAGGGATAGTGTGAGTCGGTACCAGGGATGTTTACGCATCCGATGTTGGACACATGACCCATGAAGATCCATGAAGCCTAAACCCATTGCCAAATCATCACAAGCCACCGGCCAAAAATTGAGCACAGATGAACCACGAATTTGATTGAATCTGCAGAATTGATTGGGCGAGAACAAATCAGATTATCAGATTATGCGTGGACAGAACAGGTATGTTTTTTTGCCGCGTGACTATCTTCAGCACTACATGGCCTAAAGGTCACCGATGGTCACAAAGTAGGCATTTGTTTGATGTCTCTTCTGTCCATATCGTTTTTTGGGGTTGAATCATTTTTGAGCCCCAGATGTTGTTTGCACATTTGCTCCGCCCAAGGCATGAAATATAAGGCCTGGCACCGGGAATAGCTCTTTTGGTGTCTCATTTGCCAGGCAGTTTTTGCTGGTAATGACAGTTAATAAAGAACTGGAGCGATCATCAAAACATTCACGGGAATGAAAAACATGGCTAGGGCTAGCAAGCAGCTCCTACTTGCCTGTGACATGCGAAACTTGATGAACATTGCACATTGCACGCACCAAAACTTTGACTGCTGGGCTTATGACAACATGCTGGGTATCTTTAAACATTATAATCAGTTGTCGTTGGCAGCAAGATCTCTCCAATGCAGAACCCTATCTATATTACAGTTTTACACCTTTGTAAATTGTTTTGGTGCAAGAGATGCTGGACGGAAGTCTGCGAGTGTCTGACAACATGAAATTTGTGGGAACACATCTCCAGTCACCTGCTTCGCCTCCCGTTTTCGCAGGTTTGCTGATTTCTACATACCTCAATGTCGGGCCAAAGGTGCCTTCGGAGAGCGCCTGTGAAAAGATCAAAGATGTGCCGTCCAACGCCGTTGGGTCCACAGGGTGTGGATTAAAATTGGGTCCCCGCAAAGTTCGCGGTTTTCGATGGTTTAATTATGTTTTATGAATTCAATGCGGAAACCAGAACCTAAAATGATGAATATTTGTGATTGCATTGGGTTTCTCTCTATTTCAGTTTGGGATCAGGATTGAGCTTAGCAAGTGGCTGGAATCTCTGCTGTGCAGCCATTAGTTGTATGACATCACACCGCTCCTTCCTGTTTGTGGTGGATTGTTATGTTCAATTGTTCAATTCTCTTGTCTTTTAATGTGATGGCATGGTGAGCAAATGTCGTGAAATGACTTCTAGGTTCAAACCATGATTTGAGGTGGCAACTCAAGTAGTTTTCTTTCCAACGGAAGAACAATCCACTACCCCCAAAGGTGGTAGATATTTTTCAGGTAGTCTTGGAATACAGCTTCCACGACTGTTCGGCGATGGCCCCATGATCGCAGGCAAGACGTATCGGGTCCTGTATCGATTCCTTTGCGTTGACTGTATTTTGCGGTCACGGCCTCGCGTGCGCACGCGCGTGTCGGTCTCGCGTGCGCACGCGCATGCTGGTCTCGCACGCGCACGCGCACTAATTGCACGCCTATTTTTTCTCGCGCAGGTCAACGAAAATGACGTCTCGGCTGCGGCTCGCCTGCGCACGCTGTGCGGCTCGCCTGCGCACGCTGTTGCTGGTCTGGGACCTTGCAGATGTAAGGCTCCCTTCTCCTCTAAAATAGAGGGAGTAGCTCCGTGTCAAGGCTCCCTTCTCCTCTAAAATAGAGGCGCAACGACAAAGAGCCTCTGTTCTCCTCTAAAATAGAGGCATTCCGTCCTCCGCGACAGAGACTCCGTTCTGCTCTAAAATAGAGGCAGTAGCTCAGTTTGACGGCTCCCTTCTCCTCTAAAATAGAGGCAGTAGCGCTGCTTGAAGGCTTCGTTCTCCTCTAAACTAGTCCAGAGATTCCGTTCTGCTTTAAAATAGAGGCAGTAGAGCTCCTCCCTTCTCCTCTAAAGTAGAGGGAGGAGCTCCGTGTCAAGGCTCCCTTCTCCTCTAAAATAGAGGCGCAACGACAAAGAGCCTCTGTTCTCCTCCAAAATAGAGGCATTAGCTCAGTTTGACGGCTCCCTTCTCCTCTAAAACAGAGGCAGTAGCGCAGTTTGAGGGCTCCCTTCTCCTCTAAAATAGAGGCCGTTGCGCTGTTTGGAGGCTTCGTTCTCCTCTAAACTAGTCCAGAGATTCCGTTCTCTTTTAAAATAGAGGCAGTAGCTCCTCCCTTCTCCTCTAAAATAGAGGGAGTAGCTCCGTGTCAAGGCTCCCTTCTCCTCTAAAATAGAGGTAGTAGCGCTGCTTGAAGGCTTCGTTCTCCTCTAAACTACTCCAGAGATTCCGTTCTGCTTTAAAATAGAGGCAGTAGAGCTCCTCCCTTCTCCTCTAAAATAGAGGGAGGAGCTCCGTGTCAAGGCTCCCTTCTCCTCTAAAATAGAGGCGCAACGACAAAGAGCCTCTGTTCTCCTCTAAAATAGAGGCATTAGCTCAGTTTGACGGCTCCCTTCTCCTCTAAAATAGAGGCAGTAGCGCTGCTTGAAGGCTTCGTTCTCCTAAACTAGTCCAGAGATTCCGTTCTGCTCTGAAATAGAGGCAGTAGAGCTCCTCCCTGCTCCTCTAAAATAGAGGGAGGAGCTCTGTGTCAAGGCTCCCATCTCCTCTAAAATAGAGGCGCAACGACAAAGAGCCTCTGTTCTCCTCTAAAATAGAGGCATTAGCTCAGTTTGACGGCTCCCTTCTCCTCTAAAATAGAGGCAGTAGCGCAGTTTGAGGGCTCCCGTCTCCTCTAAAATAGAGGCCGTCGCGCTGTTTGGAGGCTTCGTTCTCCTCTAAACTAGTCCAGAGATTCCGTTCTGTTTTAAAATAGAGGCAGTAGCTCCTCCCTTCTCCTCTAAAATAGAGGGAGTAGCTCCGTGTCAAGGCTCCCTTCTCCTCTAAAATACAGGCGCAACGACAAAGAGCCTCTGTTCTCCTTTAAAATAGAGGCATTCCGTCCTCCGCGACAGAGACTCCGTTCTGTTCTAAAATAGAGGCAGTAGCTCAGTTTGACGGCTCCCTTCTCTTCTAAAATAGAGGCAGTAGCGCTGCTTGAAGGCTTCGTTCTCCTCTAAACTAGGCCAGAGATTCCGTTCTGCTTTAAAATAGAG